CTGTATTATTCTAGTAATCTTTTCTCATTGACAGTCAGTTTTCTATAGTCCACTTTTATACTCTGTTTGGTATAAATAACAACTGATCCCTAATGATTTCTTATGTTCCTAACTGACTTACAGTTCCCCATCTTTCAATGAAGTTGAAGTACGTTTGTTTGTTTGTTTGTTCAGAGTAATCATCAGTAAACCACAAACAGCAGTAGCAAAGTCATCAGACACTGGGAATTTCTTGATTGGAGCCAAGTCTAACTGATAACGAGCCCGGCCACAATTTCAGACCTTCTTCTCTTCATAAAACTTATTTTTGTAGGTGCTTTCACTGCTGCGTCATATCGAATCTAAGAAAATGTAACTTTAATGACAATCATAGCGCCATCTATGGGCTAAAACCACACTGCGACTGAGTGGCGATCGAGAGAGGCACAGTTCAGCGTGACGTTTGAAGAAAGCTGCAAAGGATAAAACTTAAATTCTGCCCTCTGGTATTGATCGATAGTAAGTATTGACCTTATAGCGGTGGATAAGGCATGTTGAAGCTATTTTTGAAGATCGGACTAAGGATTACCTGAAAAGAGAGTAAACTTAAATCAGATGTCATTTTTGGCCATTTTCGTCTCCAGGATTTGTTTACGACATGAAATAGATAATGGACAACACTGAATTAATATAGAAATTCCAAATAGTTCAAGCTTATTCGACCTCGTAATACATTGATCTTATTGGCGACATTAAATTAAACTGACCAATCACTATCAAAAACCAAAGACGGAGAGCGGCTCCTCTTTACCTTAATTCTTAAGAGAATATTATTATCGAACCCCCGGGATCCATCTTCAACATCACCCTTAAAAATGCCCCTCAAATTGTTCCCGACAGCTGGCTTTGCACTTTTGATGTTTGTCCTTTACTTGACAAGTCGCCCACGATTTACTATTTTAGGCACAATGAATAAAAACTCATTTGTGTCTTTTTAAGACTTATTCCTCGTAAGGTTTATCAATATTTGTCCCCATTGTCATTTAAATTTGTGCAAGAAGTTCACAAGACAAAGAACTCATGTGGTTAAGATATTTAAAGTAATGGTCTCCATAGTCACGTACAGAGCGAGGATTGATGTTACATAATTATGTACATAATACACAGAGTTTTACATCACTGTTTTATGGATGGCTTTGTGGGAATCAAAACTTCAATTTACTTGAAAAAATCATGTTTAACCCAAATGAAATAACTGTGATGGATCAGATAGATTTAACTAGTTCTTTTTGTGTTTCCTCGCCTGCAATATAAAATTAAACTCAATGGATATTGATTTATAATCGAAAGATAATGTGTTTTTTATGTTAATCTGGCAACATAAGTTAATTATTCATAACTCTCGTGATGGGTTTGAAGCAAAGCACTGAGCAACTGCGGGGAACTTCCAATTGCTCCGCGTAAGGTTTAGGAACTGATCAAGGCTTACCAAGGTTTGAAGATAACTTTAAAAAGGTAAGGAAACATGTAATTATCAAGGTCGCAGACTCTGCTCTAATTCTGAAAAAATATTAATTATGTAACCGTGAAATAAGAGGTAACTTTTTTAAACAAAAATTACATTCAAAGTTGTTATTAACTACCCAAAGTCTTTAAGATCCGTGCATCCTTATATTATGACCAAAACATATGACCAATTTGTACTGCGTAGTACATCCAGCCAAAAAATCTTGGTTTTATCATTCTCCCTGGTTTATGCAACAGCTGTTACGTGTATTTGTTACCGACAAAATACTAAACTTTTGCAAGAGTGATATTGTTGGAGGTTGTAAGATTGTAAAATTGATCAAAACATGGCTGAATGAGAGAAGAAAATATCATTTCATAAAAAAGTAGATTGACTAGGGATATGTCCCACCTTTATAGTTCTATGTAAATCTAAAATAATCGCTCTTTTCAAGATATTTTTTAAGCCTTCATTACTTTTCAACGAACAGCTGAAATAATCGACGGACAGGGGCAAAATGCTTTATTCTCAAACTTCAGGCTTCAAAATTAAGTTTCACTCAACATTATTTTCAATGATTGATTTTACTCAATGCATAGTTTTTTCTTTAGGTTTTTCGATCGCGAAAAAATCATATGGTGCAGAAAATGTCAATGATAACTCTCGAAATTATAATTAACATGAACCTCACGGTGTTATGATTCTAGAAAATTTACCATATTTAATGAGTGCACCATGGATATATCCCCTAATTGATGGGAGTTGAACCTTGTGCGAATTACAAAGCCACATTAGGCCAAATATTTTTCAACTGAAACAGTTTCAATGAACTGTGCACTATTTATCGTACAATGGTTTTTCTTTTAAAACTTAAAGTGGGATATACTCGTATCTGATATACAAAATCTTTATTGCTTTCAGCGTAAAAGCCTTTGTAAATGTGGACGCTCAGAAAACTGAATGTTTATATTTTTCTTGAAATGCAATAGGTCTCCTATTGAAAAAATAAGCGTGATAAGTGATAGATGGTAACTGTTCGTGCCTCGGGATACGTGATCCGTAATCCACTATCCGTGATGAGTGGTTCGTGCCACTGATGCGTGATCCGTTCTTCCTACGCGTGCCTACGCATATTCCTGATAAGAATACAAACACAATCTGTTTAAGCATGATGCAGAGCTTACGTTACGTCATTATCAGAATACAAGACCCACCCAAGAATTCAAGTTCTTGCTTAAAGCATACCATCATGGTTTAGTGTACAAATTAGTAACTACAATGATATTTATAAAGTCTTTTCCCTATTTCTCATATTTTGTCTTCACTACATTCAATTATTATGATATGGAATCTGTCTTTGGGGAAAGTTTACGGCAAGGTTATGATGAGCAGGTGTTTTTCCTCTTTCGTAGAATGAAACTTCGCAGCCCAGGACTCGAAGTAAATCGGATCACGTTAAAGCTACATGTAAAACTGCTAAAAAAAAAAGAGAAAAAAAGAAAAAATTGAGGAAGTGTCAGAATACCGTGCGGCAATATGTAAGAATTATTCATTAGTTTTTTTCTATCTCAACTGGCCTCCGCACATTTGTTCTTCATCAATAGGTGCTAAATTTGGTGCATTGAACACTACATGTGATGTGTAGAGTTGGATAAAAGGCATTGTCTTCTACAAGAACATTCTACGGTTACAACTTTAACAAAAGGCAAGTAATAGAGAAAGGTAAGTCGTTTGGAAGGATGTCGAAATTGTAATGACAACGTGCCTTCATGACGTCAAAAGGCTCTCTTCTATAGGCCAACAAGTATAAAATTGAAGCATATATATTAGTTAGTTTTTTTGCGCATGTTTGACGATTAATCATAAAATACTGAGCGATGAAAACAAAGCCAGCTAAGGCACAGCTTTTTGCTTGGGTTTCGTGACAAAATACGTTAGAGCAGAAAGTAAGTAGTTTTCCATTTGGCCTCAAAGAATAACTTTGTAAGTAGTCATAACAAACTTAGCAAATGATGTTTCCAGAGAACTATTTTGGGAATTGGTTGAAGCCATCAGAATTTTTATTGGAACACAAACCTCTTTGCGCTTACTGCACCAGTTTTTTAAATCAGCCATTGAATCATCCCTCATGTAGGGACGAATGCTTAACTGTAATGAGTCAGATCACTCTGTTACAAGGGAGATAGATTCTACAGATGAATTTTTTTAAGGGACAATAATGTGAAGCACATTGGTAAGGAACAGTGTAGGCGATCAGTTACTTTTATTCTGGGTTCTCAGTAATTGAAGGCGGCCACTAGTTGTTCATTTCACGTTAAAAAGGCTTCTGTCACATAGCTTACGTATGTGCAATCTTTCTCAAGACTCAAGAGAGGTAAAATTAATAAATTCATTGAAGGTCACTTTCCGATATTAAGTGACCTTAAGTTAGGGGTGAGTTTTTCGATGTTGTCGAGTTAATTCGCGGCTTTGATCAGTGGTATCTGTTGTTTTCTATTTTGGTAAATTTTTCAATATTGCAGCCTTTTGGTTTCGGTGGAACATTGTTGAAATCTTTGTGGTTTCAACTAGACCTCTGATATCCTGCTATTAATTCTAACCGAAAGAGCCCGTGGTCACGGTGTAAACTCAACATTTCACGAAGGTAATGCTTTCTTTTTAGTATCTATTTCTGGCTTGGTCTACTTTGAACATCTAAAATGTTCAGCTTTGAAAATTTAGTATTTTTAAACAACACGCTGTTATATAAACTTAATGAAGTTCGTTGTAGTCAACGCGTTGAGACATTTCTGACCTAGAGAGAAGGCGCCTGTTTACTTTTAAGAATGTTAATGATTCAGAGAGTTCTTGATTGTGGTAGCCTCAGTACCATAAAAATCTCTAAAAATGATCTTGGACGTTATTAGGAAAAGCATTTCTGTTTGTATTTATTAAGCTACGTGACCTGTGCTAAGTGTAATAGGTTACTTATGTAGTCCACTATTAGGTTATGGCTGTAATTGCGATTACATTATAACAAAAACCTTGACAACTTATTTTAATGGATCTTTGAGGCCAGAAAATGACCAAGACGTCAAGATACGATTTTTATCATTTCATCATCACGTACTGGCGGGACAAAAAGTGAGATGAGCCTCCCCACGAAGGGTGGAGGCGATAATTACCGAAGGAGAAGGACCTCAGAATTAAAATAGAAATGATAAACAGAAATTTTGTTTATGCCGTAGTTAAATGACATTTAACTGAAACATTTTATAACACATATCAAGTGTATTCGATGAAATTCTTCATGAAATTGATATTTCCCAGGTTGACTTCAATCACCTTTAGTTTTGGCTGAAATTTTTAAAGATGTTATTTGAGCTGCTGGTTATAAATAGCACCTTCGTTTTCTGACAACCAGTTTCCATTTGGGAAGTAACTATTTTGGCTCCTTTCAAAATTATAACCCAAGGACAACTGGTAAAATAAAAGTTGTAAAAGAACTTAGGCGTTGAGTTCTAAGAAAATTGTTTTCATTATGCTTTGTCTCCCATTGTGTTTGCTGATTGTGCTTTGCTATTTCTTAGTGTTCAACATTCAACGAATAATCTGACAAAATGATTTCTTTAGACAAGTTTAAACTTGTTTAAACAAGTTACACCTCATGTAAATTACACGCCACCTAGTCAAAATAAAATGATTACAGACTTTCTTGATGTACAGATGTTTCAATCTTTCTGGAATCGCACAGTTGACTCTTTAATTAGTTTGTCTTTTTCTGTGTCTGATAAAATTACTCGTTCAGAAATCCGTTTTAGCCTTTGTAAACTTATACCATCTAGTAAAAATGAAATTATTACTTCCTTGAAGCGCACAAATTTCGATTGTTCTGGAATAGTAGAATTGGCTCTTGGTATGAATTGTCTGTTTTTGTTTGCTATCATAAGGTTTCACTTCAGTTTTTGTTATCTTTGAAGAAGATTTTGAATTTGCATAATATATTAAGAATCGATCCTCTTCTACAACCCCAATTATAAGTCAAACAAGATGTTTGGGAGAGCCTTTCTTATGAGTGAAAAACGCAATTATTCCATGTGAAGAAAACAAAAACAAAAGAAAAAAAACCTGTGAAAGAAGACCTCTAATCAATGTCTTTGTGTTCTATCGTAAGCATTGGAGTGAAAAACATTACAATGAAAATTGCTTAGGGAAAAGGTTTCATTCAAAATATGATAAACGCGAAAAACAAAATTGTGAGATAATATTCATACAGATTTAATGGTCACTTTCTCGTTCTGGCTGGAGGCAAAACTGATTGTCAACTTTCTAGAGGCAGCTGAATTTGCTTGTTTAGTTTAGGTAAATAATTAATTGTAGTGAAGAAAGGCTTTGACATCATATCAGCAATTTCACATTTAATATATTTGTAATGTCAGTCAAATCGTGCCCATGAAAGCAAATCGCATATCACTTCGCATCATTTGAGCGATGCACGAATCTCAATGTTTCTCTCTGATTGTTTTTTTCGTTTAGGGCGAGAAGCTTCGAAGAATTTTCATCCTCATCCACTGCATCCAAGCACTCGCTATGTCGTCTAGTCTTGGAGACAGAAAAAATGGAGTAATTGTTGCGGAGGCCAGCAGTCTGATCATTCTGAATGTGGTGTCGTTAGTCGGTAATTTTCTCATATGTTGGACTGTGTTTCGCAGTAAGAGTCTCCGAACCACTACCAATCTTTACATCGTTGCTTTAGCTGTTGGTGATCTCAGCTCAGCCATATTTGTGATGCCAATCTCATCCGCGGTCTTGATTACAGGAGATTGGCGGTTCGGTGATTTTTATTGTAACATTCAGGGTTTTTTTGTCGTACTGAACATATATGTCTCACCTAGTCTGATGACTTTGACGGCTTTCAACCGATACGTGAGAATTGTGAGGACAAAAATGTATCCCAGACTTTTTTCCTTGAGAAAAAGCAAAATTTGGATCATCGCCGTGTGGTGTGTTGTGATCGCGTACATCTTGATACAGGTTTTCGGGGGAAACCAGGCCATCCGATTTGTTCCTGGATACGCAGTTTGCTCCACGACTCATCTCAAAGAAACGCAGAAAATCGTTCATTACAGCATCGTTATCCCAGTTTTTGTTGTGGCTCCCATTGTTATTACATCATTCTGCTATTACAAGATTTTCCAAACCATCAAACTTCATAACAAGAATGTAATGCCGTCGTTAGAAGGCAGCAGTGACAATTTCTCTCGAGCGAAAATCTCTAGGCGTGAGTTGAAGATCAGCATGTCCCTATTTGTCGTAGTAATTGTGTTTGCATTTTGTTGGATCCCGTTATGGGTTCTGGCTCTTCTGTTTCGCTTCAAACTCGTTAAGAGTCTACCAAGAAACGTGGCTTTGTTCGTCAGTTTCTTAGTGTTTTTCTCTTCCACCATAAATCCATTCATTTACGCTGGTATGAACAGGTATTTCCGGCGTGAGATCCGTCATGTCTGTGTGCCAGCGAGTAAACATGAACCAGTCTCAGAGCGAACAAGACCAAGTGGAAAAACAGATGAGGAGTTAGATGAACCAAACCAAGCGTGTATAAATGGAGTGGAGCTGCAAGTTAAAGCCGCTTCTAATGAAAACACTGATTAGCCAGTGAATACTTATAATCAATGGGGAAAGAAGAATCCATCTTATTTAATACTATATGTACAAAAACGAATTTATTCAATTGTCATCATGTTGATTAATCGACCGGCCATGCAAAATGAATCCTACACTATGTCATTAAAACCTTAATATCAGAATAACACAAGAGATATGGCTTTAAAGAATGGCTTTTATGATTGAATTAAATAATAGACCGATATTTGTCGCAAACAATTACAAAAAGGCCGCTATGTAATAGATGGTAATCAAAAGTTAATGAGGGATAATTTTCCACGCATCAGGACTCGATATCCTCTGTTGCATCTTTCTGGTGATCTGAATTCAAACTACTATATATTTACTCCTGCTTTTGCAAATCAAACTAGCAACTCAAAAAAGGCAAAAATCCTTTCATGAACTTGTTAATAATATTGGCGGACATTTACAATTTAGTAAGATAAGCAAGCTTGATGAATGTATTTCTAAACTGCTCAGATTGAATATAAGGATCAATCCAAATGCGAGTAGAATTCATCACATCATGGGGTTATGAATATTTAATAGCAGTCCTAACTTGATTCTTAACTGACGAGGGATATCAACCTTAATGAATATTTTAAGTTGTACACTGAAATTATAACCAGGGGTAAAGAACTATTCACCCTAATGGTTTTTTATGAAGCATGATGCGTAATTGAATCCTAACGATCTGTTGCCAGGGTAATCTTAGTAATTAAGAACATACTAAATACTGGTCACCAGGTATCATTTGTACATTTTTAGGTTTAGTCATTATTTATAAATATGATTGGTTTCAGTATTTTCAGTGTAGATTTTAGAAGGCTGCCGCAATGTTATGTTGATGCAATTAAACCAAAATTTTTCAAAAATGACAGTAATGTGAAAAGTTCAGTTTGTTGTTTTTTCTCTAACCCGCGGACGAAAGATAATTCATGCATACTATGTCTTTTTTTTTATTTTTATCCTTACAATTTTATCCTGCGCGATAAAAAAAAATCGAACAAAATCAAACAAAATCTCCTCCAAGCAAAACGAAAAAAAGCATAAACTTATAAATTGAATTTTACTCTTAAAAAACAAAAAAGGCAAACAAAAAATTGAACAAATAGGTAGAAAAAACCGGTGACAGGACACGGCAATGGTCTGCTAACTAAATACCAAGTTACAATACAAGGAATGCGCCTGCTCTATCTGTTTTGCCGCTGGGGTTCATTACTTTTACCTTCCTCTTAGTTTGAACCGATCAGGTTTCGAAAGAATGGGATGCTCTCCAAGCACAATGAAGGCCAAAAGTATGGTTCTATTGAAGTTAAAATTTTATTCTAACCGGGACAACTACGGTTATGACGATGTTACTTATTTTCGAAAAATTAAGACCTTTTTTCCAAAAGAGAATTTAAAGCTTGACCGTCATCATGCGCGAATAGTGACGTCCATCCGTGCTGCAACTGACAAAATTGTAAGTCGCTGGATGCTCCCAAGAAACAAATTTTTCACACAAAATGAAACAGCTTAGCTTACATTCCTAATCATCAGATACCAGGGAAATCAGCTAAGGAAAAGGGAAACGGCCGGAAAAGGGCTCACTTGCTAATACTGCGAATAAATTGGAAACCGTCTCGTTATCTTTGAGTACCAACTTATAAAACACCTTCAGATACATCGGAAGGAATGAAAGAGCGTAAAGACCGTGAACAGCATTGCAACTGAGCTGAGAGATTTGTGAAAAGAAAAGATTTTCACTAAGAAAGAAAATCATGTAGGTTCTTGATGGTATATTCTGGCAAGTGCAAGAGTTAAGGAGTACATTAAATATATTCAATTAATTTTACACGATTTAAGGTTTCAATTTTAGCGATGTTACTTTTCTGCATTTCAAACGGAGCCTCTATTGCTTACGAAAAAAGGAATAAGTTTTCACAGCGTACGTGTAAAATGGCCGATTTTTGACAAAATTATTTCATTTACAGCTTAAGAATGATTCCCCGTCAGAATAAATGTCTTATTGAATGGGAAGGTCATCAAACATCCACAAATACCTTGAACGATTCATGGCAGCTTTCATAATCATACGGAATAAAGACAAAAGATCTGAATTTCCAAAGTCAGAAGGAGCCTCATGATTGAGTTAAAAATACCCAGGCTCATTATCATCATTATTCCATTTTTGTTAGCTACTTGGAACGCTCACTGAAATAAATCTTGATCTTCAAATAGATCCAAGCTATTTCCAGATCAAACTCAAGTCCCAGAGAAGGAAAGCAATTGAGGATTCCAAAAAGGATTAAAAGATTTCAAACAGAAACTCTTACTAGGCTGAGACAATTTTTGGAAAATAATTTATACCGAAGGCTGTTCCTTGTTTGTTTTTTAAGACAAATATTGACCCCCCATGCCGGATAAGGCCTTATCCTTGAAAAACGAAATCCTATATCCAATTCAGCGCCAGTTATTCGTGATACCTAAAATATTTTCAATCTTTAATTTTTTTTAATTTTTAAGTTTTTACCTGTAAAACTGAAAAACTGAAAATTAATTAGTGGTCCTTTTTGGCAGAAGTATTTAGGACCATGATTAGAAATATTGTTTTGCTTATTGAATTATCCGCGTATTCATCAATTTTAGAACAGGAAAAATAGATAATATCTGGTTCGTTGGAGTCATGATGGTTTTACAGTAGGTCCCTAATGCACTATGCGTAAAACCTACAGCCAAATTGCAGATTAAAAACACGATTAGCGTTATCTTCCGCTTCAAATTCATTATTTGTTATTTCTTTTTCAATAAAAGAGCAGTTAAGACATTTTACTGAAATAGTTTTTGACTCACAAGCTGCAAATAAAAGGGGAAGAAAATGCTGTTGTCTGCTAAATACTCACTGGTACAATAATCGCTATTTCTTGCTAATGACTTGTATGCTTTTTTAAACTAATGAATGGCATTAAAGATCAAGTATTCGGCTCGTTTGCTTCATTAGGGAGTATACACTGGTCGAATTTAGAATCCGCATGGTTCTAATGGATTTAAATAATATCATACGATCTCAAAGCCTTAACTTAGTGATTCCACTCACGCACTCACTCTACGAGGTTCATTTTAAGTAAAGGATTTGAGCTTTTACTGAGTCCAAAATTGTATCACATATTTATCAGTAGCAAAGCTTTTTTTCGAAATTTGAAATACGATCATTCCTTTTTTGCCTTATGAAAGGAAATTGTTATTAAGTATTTGGTGTGATTAATCATTTTTGGTAATTTTCTCTGTTTGTTTTTATTTTGTCCCCAATAGTGTAAAGATGTTTGGTTTTCAACGCAAACGTAAATTTTACGTACTATTTCTTATCATGACGGCTCTTTGCTTGATCTTTAAATTCATTTATTCATAATGTAATGTATTAATAGCGAGCGATAAAAGCCGCAATGAAAAAGCTATATTATTCAACTTACAAGCACACCGGCATTGAAAGAAACTCCCAGAGTATTTAGTTGTCATAGTTATCATCAATCGACTCAGATGAAGCAGGAGATAAAAGGATGATCACTGACTATCATCATTCGACCCATCTATTTGTATTAGCAATGTCCAAATTGAATTTATTTTCTTTTTAAGGCCAGTTGATGCAGAAAACAAAATCTATCGCAGATGTATTACACCTCGGTAACTGCGCACAGCGTGATGCTTACTGATTTGACACGGCCTGGCAAAATAGAAACTCGTATTTATCTGCTGAAAACGCGTTTTGTATTGATGGTTGTTTCTGTGATAATAAAAGGAAAGGAAACATTTTGAGGGCAATGTCTTCCAGCTGTTGAAAATGAAAGAAGAATAGGACAAAAGAAAATAGCAACGCGTCAAAGGCTGCTCTGTAAATGGACATTACTATTGGATGAAATTGAAATAAGCTTTAATTAACGAAAGGCTTGCGCCACAAATTAACATATACTTTGAAACAAAATTAAAGCATGTTTACAGTACAAAACGTGTTTTCCTGATAAAGATGAAGGGGAATATTTGTTTTCACTTAGTTCAGACACGAACTTGACACGAGTCTAAACAGTCATCGCGAAAAATCTTGCGCTCTACAGCACTTCAAGACCACAGCATCGAACAAGCACAATAATATAATTTATAGCTACCTCTGTGTTTGATCAGATCAAAACTCTCGCTATACAGGAGATTAGTTCAAGATAAATCTCGTTAACGTGGCTGGAATAGTGGAACTAATGGAGAAAAATCAGTCATGTGAAAGAAATTTGACTGGTACCTTTAAGAAGGAGGCCAACAAAACCGGTGAAGATTCGCCTGAACTCGGCTTGGATTACAGCGTCCCTCTGACAGTAATAGGCTTCGCTGTGTTGGTTTCAAATGGCCTTGTTTGTATACTTTTCTGCCGGTTTCGTACCCTTCGAACGATAACAAATACTTTCATTGTCAGCCTGGCGATAAGCGATCTCATGGTGGCCACCGTCTTCCTCCCGACATATCTAGCTGGTCTGGCAGTCAGTCCCTATATTATTGCCTACATACTGTTTGCATATCTTTTTAATTTCTGTGGCATAACTTGGGACAGGTACCAAGCCGTTCTCAACCCCCTCATGTACAGGTCAGTGATAACACGTGCGATCGTTTACAAAATCTTGGCCTTGGTGTGGACCATACCTTTATTATTGGCGATCATACCAATTTTCTGGGAGTATCGGAACGGTGTTAAATTACTGGCAGGACGTATTTACCAAGGAGTCTTGGTTGCTCTGGTCACCCTGTGTTCAGGGTTTATCTGCTGGGCGTATGGAAGGATTTTTGGTGCCACGCGACGTCAAGTAAAACAAATGATTGAAATGCACGAAACAAACGCACGGTTTGAACACAAAGTCCCGCCCGACAGACAATCAGGGCGATCAATGCGAAAGAGACGGTCAATTACCATTTCCACTGAAGTGAAAGCAGCCAAAGTTTTTGCTCTTGTAGGAGGAACCTTTGCAGTTTGTTGGCTACCTTTGATAATTATCAACGTGTTTTCCGCATTAGGGTATTCCCACATAATTCCAATTGCATTTCTCCACGTCTCCCTTTTTTCACTTGTTGGAAATGCTTTAGCCGACCCTTTAATTTATTCATTTTACAAATCGGACTATAGACGAGCTTTTAAGCGATTTTTTTGTGGTAAAAAACAAGATAACGACAAATTTGGGAACTCAATCACTACAAGGAATTCTGTTCTGACAGAAGAAAACAGTGATAAAATAGACGAAAATCTTATTTAGGGAATATTATTCATGAACTGGAAAAGCAGCATTTTGAAACTAATTGCAATGTATTATCTTCAAGCTGGTTTTTATCGCTAGGAAAATTGAGTTTTATGAAAACATCAGCGTACAATTTCAACGTGTCAATAAAGAAAACATTTAACAATAAATGTTTTGTGTCATTTCAAATACTGTTTATGCCATCATATTTTCATCTGTTTATATTCCAGTTTCGGCCGATGCTAATGACTCTCAGTATACAAGCACTGAGGTTGTAACGTGTTTAAAGATATCAAACAAAGGCTTTTGAACTTTTAGACCAGACCTCGATCAACTTTGTTAATAGCTTTCTCCAGTAACATAAATCAATACATTTCAAAATGGAAATGACATAATGCGTTTTAACATAAATTTAATATTTTTCAAAGAATCATTAACCCTATAAAGTAAATGGAAATGACTCTTAGTCGGAAAACAAAAGTATAACGCTGTGGGCCAGGGCTAAGTTATATAAGACAAACGAAGATTCCTACCTCTTAGAGACCGTCGCATTCGATCCATTTTTGGCATAGAATCGGAGTTACCCTCAAGCACTCCTGACGACCTCGTTAAGAGTAACTCAATAACAAGGCTAAGTTGGGTATTCGCTCCGACGAAGGGCTAACGCTCGAAACGTCAGCTTTTGTAATCGTTACGGTGGCCAATTTACCATTTCAACTTTGTTGATATATCCAAATTATTCTAACTTAGGTATTGACTGTCTTTTGAGCTCCTGTAAATGCTTGATGAGGACGATGCAATTAGAACCCTTCCAAGTGAATGTTGCTCCATATCAAGTCTATTTACTTCTATACCCTCTTCATTTTCTCGGTTGGGCTAAGATTTAGAAGATTGTTTACCTAGTTTTATCCGGAAAAGCGAATTTTACGGCGGAAACTGCAGTGATGTTGTTGAGAAAGGGGTCACCCTGAAAAGTTTTCAGCTTCACCATCGCTTCTAAATTAGTTTAAAACCCTTAAATTGAAAGCAACTTGACCACGGAATCATTTCCGAAATGATACGTACAGGTAAGTTCCCGATTTGGAGTGTATTACAGCTGGCTGAACCTCATCATTTGAGCAATATTTCGGTTTAGTTTAAACTGTCGTCTCATTTTAATTTTGTTTCACCTAGATGTTTTGGGACCCACTTCGAAATTGTGTTTTTACGCTCCAGCATAATTATCGTCTAAATTATATTAAATTCTCTTCCCTGGTATTGTTCTTTTCCACGAAAGTTAAAATCCTCGTTCTTAGGTATCGCAAGTCGTAGTTTTCTAGCTAAATCGTTCAAACTAATGTTCTAAAAGCGTTATAGAAAGAACATGACTAAAAGAAAAATAAGCTACAAAAGAAATTGAGATTTATGTTAATTAAAGATTGTTGCATGTCTGATCTCATACAATAGTTTTAATTTGCTTTCCATTGGAAAATCAAGTCTCACTCAGCGACAATTTTCTATTAATAATAATCCTGAGCGGAAAACAGTTAATTTAATCCATTTTTCATAGGACGAGGGATATTTCCTACGAGCTGCTTTGTGCTTCATCGAGGTTGGTTTCCGTTCGTGCAGGTCTGAGTCCTTCAAGGGTTGAAAAGAAAAAAAGGAAAAAGGAAAAAGATAATGACGTAACAGATATCGATTTACAGCTCGACATCTGCTACCTGCCAAGTTCTTTTTAAAGAGGGAATTTTCTTTGCCTCTCTGCGAGTCCTGCGAGTAAGTGTTAAACAAACTATCGGGTTGATACAACTACTAAATAAATAATATAAATAAATAAATTCGTCTTTATTAAAAAACTATCCGATAAAATTGCATATCTCATGTTACAGTAAAAATATATATTGATGGGAAAAATTACAATGATTAAATCGAATAAAAATGATCAGAAATACATATGGGGTGTTTACACAGCTAGACTATATTTAAAAATTAATCTATTAAAAAAAGCTATGTTTAAAACGTTCAGTGTTAATGTTGGGCCTGACAATGGATTTCCTTCGAGTGTTTACAATATAGTCTTTGTACCTTGGAAGAAGGCTTTTTAATGGATGGTCATCATGCTTGAGGTTATAAAAAAGGTGTCTGTCGCTTTTCTCCAAAAGTTCATATATGTTGAAATTGACCGACGTATAGCGCCTCTTATAGCATCTTTTTAAAAACCTTTGTATAACAGTAAGTTTGGAAACACTTGCAGCATAAACTGAAATACCGTATAATAACTTAGGGATCACAATTGAATTAAAGAGGTGGTCTATTTCATCTTGTGTATATCCTCCTTGACGTAGGCTTCTGCTGACAAATAAATACGTGTTGGCTTCATGGAGCTTGGCCTTGACATGCATGCTGAACTTACAATTACCTTGAAATGTGACGCCCAATAAAGAAATGTTATTATATTGTTTGATATTGTGAGACATTGGGTAGACTGTTGAATTGCCTTTCTTACTCATAACTAGCTCCTTACACTTACTAGTGTTACAATGCATGCCGTTTGCAACAGTCCAACTACTGAGATATACAAATGAGGTGTAGGCTACATAGGCTCCTCGTCGAAGGCTGCCTGTACCCAGTACTGCATTTATGAAATCCACTGTTATAACAGGAGGCCAGCAGATTACGAACGTAACGACGATGACAAGAAGCATTTTTGTCATTCGAAGCTCTTCTGAGCTCAAACTCCTAGACTGCTGCGAACGGATAGTGTTTCTCGCGGCCATTACATGCTCTTTCACCATGCGGAAAACTTTGTAATAGCATACAGTGATAAGAACCATGGGCAGGATTGTGTAAACGAACTGCAAGGAAAGAATATAGACCTTGTTTTCAATTCTTTTATCCGGATCAAAGGTCAAGAAGCAAGAAGCTTTTCGTGGGCGAAAGATGTAAGTAAATAAGCCACAGAAAAGTGGTGAAATGGTCAGAATCAAGGGCGCAAAGATAACTGCACAAATCAATGCGATGGTAAACCTTTTGGTGAACAATTTCCGATAAAGTCCTGGTTTAATAACACAGAAATACCGATTAACAGCCATCAGAGTCACCATATGAAGTGAGATCCACAAAGGGCAAATTGCGAAAATTCCATGGGATATACAAACCGCGTCACTGAATATCCAGTCACTGTGTTTGAAGATAGAAGCTGTGAATGGCATAACCAATGATGCTGTGAGTATATCAGCCACAGACAAACAAACCAAAAACATGTTTGTCACAGTTCGAAGACCTGGATTTCTAAATATCGCCAAAATCAAGACAAGGTTACCGAGGAAAGCTGCCAGAATAATCAGCAGTATAAAACAAGACTCGAACGCTACAACCCCTCGGCTTCTGTTTTCCAAATCCGTATGTAATGGTACTAAATTTCCTCCTCCATTTTCGATCTTAAGTCGGAAAAATGACGACAAAAAGACTCTCGACTGTGGTGTCATTAGATACACAGCTGCTATATAATTATGTTGGTAAGTTACAGTGATGTCAATAACAAACTTGAGAAATTTCTTCGTTCCGATTGGCTGAGTGCAATACAGTTTGTAGGTAATGCAGTACAAAAAAGTGTTAATTCAGTGCTGAATAAGGTGACAAATTGTTCAGACAGGTTTAGAAACTGAAAACAAAGAGGAAAACAAAACGAAGCAAAAAAAAAATATAAATTTTTTTCATTAAACAGGGCTTCTTTGACCGAACGCACAGTGACATTTGCAGAATTCAAATGAATAATTTTTGCTCGTGATTTGTGCGCTTTGCTTCTGCATAATTGTGAAAAGGTATCACAAAATTCTCTCCTGTATGTTATTGATGAGTAATTACATGATTTTTCTCGTGCAGTACATCAACCAATTCTCGTGCTTATATATTTCAAATTTCTGTCGAAATGTTGTAATTACTTGTACAAAGGAAACACTAATGCCGGCATAATAAATGTTTAAACAGTTGAATAACTGTTTGCATTAATTGGTACTTTAATTTGTCCTGTTCCGACAGTGTAATTATACAAGGATCACTGATTTGATCAAAACTGACTGTACAGTCTGTCGTATATTACTTAATGCTGTTTTGCTCTGAATTGGACCTTTACCCAAGTAGGTCTACCCTCGCATAATAAATGTTTGGCCACAACTTTGCATCCAGCATAACCCATGCTTTATACTAAGTACTAATAAATAAAGTACTAAGTACTTTATACTAAATGGAGGTCCCGTCTCCTGCAGGGTTGGGGTAGGAGACGTTAATTTCCCACACACGAGATTACTGTGTGATGGATGTCCTCCCCTGGGGTGGGATGGGTGGGAAGGTGAGATCGATATGGACTGAAGCGGCTTTCAGAGGCGCCTGAGAAAATGCCGACGTCTGTTCTCAACCTTAACAACATCTTATTGTAACAAACCTGTGATTCAGTTCTCTGCAAAAGGTTTGAATAAACATCATATTAGTATCATATTAGTAAACCCTCATATTAGTACTACAATATAAACAGAACAATAAGAGACCCTCATTGAATAACGGCACTTCATGTCTTCAATGAGGTCCTCCTTTCAGGAAAAAAAACTAGACCAAGAAAAATGAGTTTTTGATAATAGGCTTTACAGATAAGTTGATTTCGTTGGTTTAGTTTATTAGCTTGGTAATTAGTGTTTTAGTTTCAATCCATACATTTAGAAGATGCATTCCATGCAGGTGGAGTAGGAAAAGGCTTCAACAATTATTTCAAACCTGCCCGTTTATTCTTGCTGATTATCTTGCTTGTTATGGTGGTGTGTTTGTTCGTGGTGAAGCTGCTGTCATAATGAGCCTCCGTATTACATTTTAGTGCTACTGTCAGTTTCAAATTCTTTATCTTAACCGTAATAAGGAAAGGATTAATCCTTGACCCGGCTATTGATATTGATCCGAGATTTGTTGTTCTTGGTAAGCTTGCAGCATCTGAACACAATCTTCATCTTTGTGGGCAATCCGAGTTCATTACTATGGCCAACTTCAAGTTGTCTCGTGAAAGATTCGAATGAAATCTTTTTGATTTCTGTGATGCTGTTATTTTTAAAAGTTGTTCCAAAACAACTTGAGTGACCTTTATGAGTGTCAATAATGGCTAAGGAGTTGTATGCTTTTAGGCTTTGCATATAATACAACAGATTACGGCACTACTATATTAAAAAAATTACTATCATGACATGTATCTCCTGTAAAGTTGTCTAATTACATGTCCTTCCTTAAAACTAAAACAAAGGTGATGAATAAACATATCTCTGTATAGAGTAGCTTAGTGCTTTGTAATCCGTTTTTGACTTAAACAAACGTTCTACCACGCGAATGTCCTCACCGCTGGCGCTAACCGAGCAGAGGACATTTTACTGCTACATACAATATTTTAAAGCCAAATTTTCTCCCTTTGTGACAAGTTGGTGTGGAGTGTTATTGGTAATGAACATAGACCGGTAACGAAAAAAGGAATAAACTCTTCACTAGCGCGGATGGATAATTTGATTTTAGCGATAATACTTGTAGTTCTGCTCTAATAAAAAAGGACAATTGGAAAACGTTACCAAAGAGACAGTGCTGACTTTGAAAAACAACCGCCTAATTTTAACTTTTAGTGTCTGTTGCAACTCTTAACATTTTTCGGAGATGACCGACTGAGATTGTTTTTACTTGGCTCCGCCGAGATGGTCGGATGCCATCATAAGCATCTTTATAAAAAAAAAAAAAAAAAAAGAAAGAGCACAATTCTGACTTCGACTTTAGGCGCAATCAGCTTAACGTAACTTTTAACAGTCAATTTACTGAAAATCGAACATAGTTTAAATATCGTCGGGTAATGAACAGGCAATGAGCTCGAGGTTGGAGTCGTGAAATGCATCATCGGAATCCGAAAAAGGTTTTACGTCGCTTTTTGGCTACCTACGTGCTATAAAACGGAAACTTATTAAGTATTTTCAAGTTTTAAAATACAAGCCACGCGAGTTGTAAAATAGTCTGAAAGGAGCGGCCCTGCTCTTAAACAATATCGCTTTCCTGATTTCCATATATTATGCCGCAAATAACCTTAACTTCATTTCATGCACGGACACATTTTAACCTCAAATATTTTCAATTGACAAGTTGAACACGGTCTGGTTTTTGTTTTAATTTACATAAAATGCGTGCATTCTTACTTGGGTAGAGAGAACAGAAAGTCTCTTCTTTTGGGACGAAGTATGACAGCCGTAGGATGTAGATACTTGAAAAAAAAGACCGTCGTCGCTCTAATTAAACGTCAGGCTTGTTTTGAGCTTCGCCGAAATTAATTGCCGCAGACACTCTGAAATAGATCAAATCTACTGGATCTTAAGTATTTACTAACTGACAATGATTTGAAAATTACTGTGCATACATTGCATAAAAAGCTTTATTGATTAAATTTTCACAAAACTTATTTAAACCCTCCGATCATTAGTTTTCTTCATGGCTGACTGCTTACGACATCCTTGTAGCGCGATAAACGCGTAAAGATATTTCCTAGGAGTTAAAGATCGTAACAGGAGCAGTGGAAGGTCTTAATGATATAGAGTTTTCTTGCAATTGGTAATTAGTAAACGAAGTCTGGTTATTTTTTGGCAGATGAGGCAGGAGTACATAGGGATTCATATTTCTGTCTTTTCGCGTGTGACACTGTTTACTCGACCTCTGCCAATATCATGCAGTGTGAAGTATTCATTTAATAAAAGTAGCTCTTATCTCTTTCAAAGCGCAATTCATGCAAAGTATATCAGACGCTCTCTAAGATGTACTTGAGAAATTGACTAAACAAAAAAAAGTCAAAAAGAGAAGGAAAAATTGAAGCAACGTGAATGTACGCCTGGGCTTAGCTAAGGGTTAGGTTGTCACTGGGGCAAATACCGACGTCTCGAGGCGATTTCGCTTTAAAATCAACAGCGAAAATAGTGCCTGCGTCAAAGGAAAAAGGTGGAGTAATCTTCTATTGATATTGAAATTTAGACATTTAAGAAGGAAAAGGAGGGCCGTAAGCAGCTTGCGGAAGTCCGGCCTGTATGCCTTTTTGAAAAGGTGGTCAACTAATATCTCGGTTGATCAAAGTGTAGATCAACACATTACAGAAACGGTCATAGTTTAATCTCCGAGAAGTGGGATTGTTGGAAAAATGGCGAATCCATCAAACGACTCGATACCTTTGAATTCAAGAGATATTTTAAATGTGGCCATCGAAGGAGGTCTGATGTTGATTATCAGTTCTGTTGCAATCATGGGAAACTTACTGATTTGTTTTCTTACGTTTATCAATCCACGACTTCATACAGTATCCAACGTGTTTGTCGTATCTTTGGCTATATGCTACATGTTTGCGGCATGCCTTGTCCTACCTACCACAGCTGGCAGCCTCTTAGCGGGAAGATGGCCATTTGGTCAAGTCTTATGCGACATTCAGGGATTCACTTTTTTGAATTTCATTTGGGTGTCTCTGTTGACGTTGACAAGTATGGCGGCAAGCCGATATTTCAAGTTCACTCATGTGGCATTTTACAAAAAGGGCTTCACTCTTGATCGATCCATTGGAATGATTATGGTTGTGTGGGTCCTTGCTGCTGCGTTATTGGTCGCTCAAATAGCATTTGGGTCGGCCATTTTTAGATTTTCTTCAGAGAAATCAGTCTGTTACATGTCCTCTAGCAATGAAAACCATCGTGAAAACATCACCAACTCAGTAATAACGATGGTGCTTTACACAATGCTGCTCATTATGTCGGTTAATGCATGGTATTCGATCAGAAGACAAGACACATACAATTGCTCTTCACCTCAACTGGAAAGAACAAACACTAAAACTGAGATTGAGTTCAAAACTCTGCTGGAAGAGAGAAGAACAAATCAAGTGTTGTTGGCAATGGTGGTGGAGGTTCTTTTGCTATGGTTGGCAGCTATTATAATTCAGCTGTTAGAGCTTTCAACCCAGTCAGCTAGCTTTTCACGTCATGTTCATCTGGCCACTACGTTTCTTTGGAGCATTGTTCCTGCCCTTCATCCCATCACATATGGCATCTTATCCAAACCGTTTGCAAGGGAAGCGATACGAATTTTGCCCCGGTTGCCACGATCGAGCCTGCGTAGGAATAAGGTGCACGCTGAACAGGCCGAACAAGCCGTGTAATTCACCATGAATCAAGTCGGAAACTAAAATCCGTTTTCGTCAAAGAAATACATATGATAAAGTTGATAACAATCTTCAACAAAAAAATAAAACAGGAATATGAGATGTTTGTCGATAACATTTGGTGAGCCAATATTACAGCAAAAGTTAAAGGTTTAATATCTACTGCAGTTATTTAAATAAATATTGTATTTTTAACGATGTTATGAGTAGGAAGATAAAGTTTCTTGACGAATGTAGTTCAGGAATCATTTGTCCTGCGTCATTTATTATAACTAAGTAAGAATACAACTGTGTTTCATATTGTGCTGATATGTATAATTATACTCCAGGTTAAACTTATTTCTTAAATTATCATTTCTGTACACGAAAGATTTATTTAGATGCTACTATTCTTACAACAATACTAAACATTGACTTATTTAAAATGTTCCGTGTTTGAGAGCAGTCACGATAAATTTTTTATCCTTCATACGATATGTCTTCCGTATCGGAAACGGACAGTCTCTAAAGGGATATACACTGCATGCCTGAGAAGGATATCATCACCTTATAAACCTAGCGTAAGATACATTCTACATCGATAGTAAAGATAACTATACACATATACTGCTGGGTGAAATATGCTGTCCACAAAATACCCCAGCTTACCACCTGTATCATTTATTATTCAACCGTGGGTATTTACAGACTCATCATGTTCACGCAGCTCATTCGAGGCTCATTTACTTTTTCGTGAAAAACTATTCGTAAGCCAATTATTACAAGGACACACAGTTGGTAAATCTATTTACATTAAAATCTCTTTTTTACAATTAGTTTTTTTTTTTTATCTTGGCGTGTTACGTATCACCTTCCATATTGATTTACAAGTTTTCGTGTCGTTCTCAAAGGTTGTTACCTGATTTATGAATCTTCACTAACGAGTTTAATTTTTCTTCCCTTAGATTTTTTTCGGTCTCGTTCACCGTCCTAGAAAACATCCCGTTTTCCCTTCTTTCTACGAAAAGAGTTGCTATTTATTTACTGATTCAATCAATAATTCATTTTTTCCTCCACTCATTCATTCATTCATTTTATTTAATTTATTTCATTTTTATTTATTTTATTTCATTTTACTTTTTTTTAGAAGAGATTGAGGTCAAAACCATAAAATTACCGTCTGGCTTTTAGCGGTCATTTGTGCATTCAATAATTTGTTTTAATTATTCAGTTAATCAGTTTGATTGAAAACATTGATTGCTATCAATACCTTGAACTTTTATAAAGCACCATTCTTTAATTTTTCGCAATTTTTCTTTGTTTTCTTAAGAGCAATTAATGTTTTAGCAGTATCAGGAGTATTGACCTAAATTCTCCACTTAATCACTTTTTTCAAGCTTTCTTTCGCTTGTGCAAGTAGTTATTGTGGTGACTTTGAGCTCTACAAACTTTTCAGGTTCTTCATTTGGATAATTTTCTTGGCTTTGGTAATTATAGTTGTTATCTGAATTAATGTGATAGTTGTCTTTTCGACTTGTTAGAGTATTTCCCAATACATTTGCGCTTTGTGTTCCTTCTCCCATTGCACTGACTCCAACTCTGCCCTTGTTTTCACAGCAGAGTATTTTTCGGAATTCTCGTTTGAACAGGTGATTCATGCCAGCATATATGAAAGGATTGATTGTGTTGGAAAAGTAGAGGAGAAACATGCAGAGTAACTCAAAACTGCGAGGCATTTTTCCCACCAGATTGAAGCGCCTCAAGATGACAATCACCCAAAATGGAATCCAACAGATCATAAACGCAAACACAACAGCGAAGAGCGATTTACTCACTTTTATTTCGTGCGCACTGATCGCTACGTTTCCTGTAGATCTCTGAATCGTTGAAAACGCACCCAAGTTGTGTTGTCTAATCATTTTGGCAACTCTTATGTAGCTGATAATGGTGGAAATTAGCGGGAGCAAGAAGAATAGAGTAAGAACGATGCCGTAATGAATCATTTTCCCGCTTTCGCTAAAATGAGCCAAAGAACATTGCGCATAGCCTTGAACAAATTGAAAGCCTTGTAGACCAGTTAGGCGAGGAACAAGGACATAACACGCGACAAAGGACCACACTATGATAAGCAGGGCCTGTGACTTGCGCGCTGAAAACAATTTTCTGTATTGTTGGTCAGATTTGCACATTCTGACATATCTGTTGACAGCAGTCAGCCCCATCGTCACAGGAGAAACGTAGATCACAAACAGACTGAAAAAACCATGAAGCTGGCAAAGAACCTCTCCAAAACTCCATTGACTCGTTATTAGTACACCAGTTCCAAGAGGCATAACAAAAACAGCGGAAAGCAAGTCACTTACTGCTAAAGCGATGATGTATAAGTTTGTCGTCGTGCGAAGTCTGGTGTTCCTGTAAACTGAAATACAAACCAAAGTGTTCCCAGTCAAAGACAAAACATTCAAGATGACCAATGAGCTTACTTCCACAATCTTTAGGGGAAGACTCCTAGAATTAAGATCGTCCGCCATTTCACCGTTCACAACCGGAAAGCATAACGATTATGCTGCTTCGTTTCCTTCCTTATTTGTTTGGTCAAAATTTTCAACGACTTGTGAAACTTACAAGAAAAATACATTAGCACCGGGTGATCTCTCTGAGTGTATAAGGATATAATGGGCCTCAGAGGTGAAGAGGAAAAGTTCACTTTCCACTGCTTGTGTTGATGAAAGCACTCTTTTGAACAAAACAAGAAAATTGTCCCAGTGTATATGATGGGTTGGTCAGAATAAATTACTCAAATTGGCGACGTCTAAATAAAATTAAAGCACCTGGCGTGATAGATATCTCTTGTTTAAAAAACATTGGAGAAATATAGTTTATCTAGCGCGATCTCCTTTTGAACTTCAGTTACTTTTAGCTTAAAGCTTAGTCAGTCGTCTACAAAACATCTAGATTCTTAGATAGGGAAACTTGAGAGATATCGAGCGTCACAAAGCACGAAGAGGGCTTTGAATAAATAAAACAAGTGCCAAACTTCCACATCAAACAAAGCAAGATATAAATATTGATTAACGCAAAATTTTCCAATACAAGCCGCAGCTCGAATTAAATTGGACAAATTGAGCGAGAAGAAATAAATAAATATAAAAATGCTGATAAATGAACGACCTATTAAAACTGTGGTATCAGATCGCTCTCTCTCTATCTATCTCTGACTGAGATGAATTAGAGTGAAAACACTAACCTGTCATTTATAACAATCGTCTTATCAAAACATTTCCTTTTAGCCATGCAGGTGCAAATCATATTAAACTTCGCAAAAAAGGAATTGAAAAAGGTTGAGAAACATATCTTGAAAGGAAAAATTTCCCTCTAAGCCTTAAGATGGAAAATGAGAAAATCGACGGAGATTATTTCAATGAAATGTTTTCTCATTGTTTGTTTCGCTCAGATGGGAAAAATTGCCTTTCTAGTTAACTTTTAATAAGAAAAAATTGTGGATTCATTGTATGAGTCGAATAATAGTCCCACCCTAAGAGAATTCTCAACTCTAATTGACTAAGACTGTTGTTGTCAGGTTTGAGTTTCGATTTTAATTAAAAAGAATTACAAACTAACCTAAAGAGGAATATTTGAATTATACAAGCGCTAAAAGTTGTGTTTTTGTCGAGTCTGAAACGGAAATTGGATTTGTGTATTAAAATTCAAGCAGTTTTCCTGATTGAGTAACGAGGTTGGCCGCTTCGTTTTGTCCTGCGCTGTAAAAGTTCATCATCCATTAGATGCATGTGTAAACTAAATTTGTCGGTAGTCAAAACTTGCAGGAACATGCAGTAAAGAAAGAAAGAGTTAAGCACAAAAGTATGTCTAACGAGATGACAGATGACAACAGGACTAGGCGAGTGAAGAAAGCTACCTTCGTGATGTAAACTGCCATGATCTGAACGATATTTTGGTAAAGAGCAAATATGTCAAAGTTCAAGACAAGAAGTTGTCGTGGAATGAGGACTGAATAAATCAATAGGTGGACAATAAATAACACATATCTTACTGTTTTACTGCTTGATTGGCACACCTGACAAAAAAAAAAAGTGCTTGTGCAAACAAAACCTTTTTTACCGACTTTGCGATCGGTGATAGGAAGAGCTCGATAATTGGTAGGTTTTCATTTCAAAAAAACTTTCTAATTGTTTCAGCGCCAAAAGGAGAAGAGAAAAAGGGAAATGATGAGCTTCTTCAAAAACTTGAGTCGTACGTGCGTGTTAACACTTCAGAGTTTCTCTTCACAGTATAAATACAATATCAAGTAGATAAGGAATAAGAAGAGAGGAATATCAAATTCCCCGAAGGAAAATCATCAGAATTGTATGACAGACCGTAAGAAGAATCACTAATGAGATAAACTGGGGAGTAAAAGGGTTCATAGATTGACCGGTCATTTTGGGCGCCGCTAATCATTAAAGTTTGAACCTTTTATCGGTACTACAGGTCATGAATATGCGATTCATGATCCCTTTGCTTTGTCGGTTTCAGGTATGAGTGGCATCAGTGCAGGTGTATAAACCTTTTAGGGGTCCACCTTCTTATTTTCATAACGCCATCTATGAGTTAGTTGGGAGACGCTTTCATCTGTTACACTAATATTGCGTACATGTTACAGGATGTTAATCTAGTTTGTAATAAAAAAAAAAGGAAAATTAGATAACTCAATTTTACATTCTGATTAATTTTGATTCAGTTGAATTGTTTTTCAACAAGTAATGATATGTTTCATGGAAATAACTTAACAATCACCCAACAGTTCGATCAGTATTTGTCATGATGACCATATCAAGCAAAAGCGAAATATGGACAGCTCTAGGTAATCTTTTCTTATTGCTCTCTAATTGTACTTTGTTTCAAACAATTTCTTCTAAAATCCTATAAAAGGTAAGGGAAAATAATGACGACAACAACAGCCACATTGCAAATAAACATCTGATAATAACACTGGATGACCATTCAAGAGGCAACTCATCACTTACAAGCTATAGACTTTAGTGAGGAGAACTTTTTCTCAGCGTGACCGAAAGCAACATTGCCACTTTGTTTAGTACATTGTCTGCAAGTCCAGTGCAATGATTTCATCGAACACATTGGCAAAGACTGGAATCCAGATGAACTCAGCGGTACTTGGTGTCTACATTAGTGAAAGGGTACTACCAAAATATTTGGAATCGATGTTCCCTCTCTAGTTTCATCTACATGATTTATAGTAACGGTGATTTATTCTTCTGTAGAACTGGTAATTGCAAAATACTGCACCTGAAAAGTTGTCCTCAAAGGATATTGATTTTTGTGATGCTAGCTTTTAAACCAGACGAGATTTTCAAATGCCCGAGGATGTATTCAAACTCAAGGGAAATGGGAAAAGGTAAAAAAAAAGTCAATTATGTTAGATCAGAGGGAACGTGTGGCACATCGACTACTATGAATATATAAGTGTTCGCCTATGTTTAGTTAAACTTAGTCCGTGACGTTTTTCCTTTGTTCTTGTTTTTCTTGTTGCGTTACGTTTCGGTATATATACACGAAGTACAGTTTAGTCACATGTTTTTGGACTGTAGCTTCTCACACGTGTTCTTATCGACGAGCTCTTGCGGCTGTAAACTCTTCCTTTTATCGTATGGTTCGCACAAAATGTAAGTAGGATTTCGATTAACGCTTGTTTTTAGGTATTCATTTGTTTATTCGTCCTTTTGTTTGTTTTCTTTCCCAGTTTTTCACCGTTAGGTAACCGATTTCTCGTGACATGTTCATACTATCAATTGTGATGGTCGAAAATTAAAGGAATATTACGGATAACGCGTCGAAGTTTTGTGCTATCGCCAACAGCCTATATATGTTATCTTACCAAACTAAACGCGGATGATAAAAGTAGCCAAGAGAACCTTATTTTTACAAACAAAAGCTAAAAGGAAATATTTGAAGGCTTAAAAAAGAAAAAGAAAACATTCAGGAAATTCACTGAAATAATGAAATAAAATGAATTTAAGTTAACCGCCAGGTCCTC